TCACTAGCAACAACGGGAGCATTGTTCGCGTCCATTACCTAAATAACAAAGTTAATAAAAAGACCACCAATGTATGCAGTTTCCATTATGTTGTATAAATGAGTTCCAGTGGCAATCCTCTAGCACTATATTCTTAAATCCTTTATTTCAAAATATCATAAAAAATAATTAGGACGCCCATAAGCATAGTCCTATAAACTTAAGCCTTGTAATGTAATTTTCACAGTGTTTTTATTGTAAAAATTCGGCTTTTTTACATTTACGATGTTTTGCTGTAAAGTTTTGTGACAACTGTCAAATTTGAGCTTCCAGGTTAGTTCTTATAAGTTTATATTAGTGTTATTAAAGATAATTTATAAGATTAGGAGTTAGTTAGATTAGATTAGCCGAAAAATTTCTAGAGTTTCCGATAATTGCTTAGAAAGTCCGGTTCCGACCCGTAACTATCTGAAACGTCTTATATAGTGCCAAATGCTCCAATTTATACCCAATTTATATAAAACATAAAGTTTTAGTGTTTTAAATATAAAACTTTTTATTCAAATGGATTTAACCAACATGAGTTTTTAATTTGAAGAAAAATGTCAAAATTGAGAAAAATGACATTTTAACAAATTTGGGCTTAAAGTTTATAAAAAAAAATTATTATTATTGTGGGTTTGGGCTCCCATGGCCGGCCACCCCCTCCCCTTTCCCTCTTTAATCCACATATAAATACTATAATTTTTCCATTTACAATCTATTCTCACCCTTTGAATTTATGAAACTCCCTCTCCCTAAACTCAAGAGTCACATTAGATCATCTTCATCATCCTTCATAATCAGCCAAAAATCTCCATATTTCTCCATCAAAATAACAAGGATTTTGAAGATATTGCATCATTCTCATCATCAATCAAGGTAACAACTTCATCTCCATTTTTTCTTGCATTTTAAGTGCTGGCAGATTTTATGCATGTGCATAAATCGTCCATTTCTTGCAAATAATATGTTCAAATATTATGAATCTTCTTCTAAAAGTTCATTTATTAAGTTAGAGTTGTAATCCAATTGGTCTCACTCAAAAACATTGAGTTTTGACTCCCCAAATACTCAAAACAAGATGTATGTGCATCTGGGAGTTTTTCAGTAGGTAAACCCTATTTTAAACAACCACAACTCTCTAAATAATCATCCAAAATTATTGATTTTTCTTCTTGAAGTTAATTTAATGAGTTACCTTTCAAATTCCACTGATTTCATTCAAAAATATGGTGATTTGAGGTTTCAACTACTCAAAACAAAATGAGTATGCAATCTGTCCGAAACTGACAGATTTGTATATGCATGTTCTAATGACCATATCTCTTTCAAAACTCGATGAAAAAGGATGATTCTTCCTTTGAGAGTTAACTATATGAGTTATATTTTGCATGCAAGTGGAATCACATAAAAATATGCAGTTTTGACCTCCAAACACCTAAAACACTTTAGGTGTGCGAACTTTGAAACCATGAGTAGGTAACTCCTACTTTGTGTGTTAATATCTCTTTTATTACTTTCTTTTAGTACATGATTCTTCTTCTGAAATATTCTTTTATGAGCTAGGGTTCATATGAACCCATTTTCACTCAAAAATATGAAGTTTTGAGGCATTAACCAATTTATTTAAATTAAGTGTGCAATCTGTCAACTAATGACAGATGTGTGCATGTAACTTTATGGTGCCATATCTTCCTCTTAACTCATCCAAAATGAGTGATTATTATCTTAAAAGTTTCATTTAGGTGTTGAGTTTATAATCCAACTTGAAATTCTGTAAAACACTTAGTAGAACTCTTCAAATGAGTATTTTACTAACATGGTGTAATCTGTCGTAACAATTGTGACATATTGTATTGCATAAATTATTTGAACCATTTTTACATGTCCAAAATGCATGAAATTTGGTCACAATGACCATAACTCAGTTCTATTTCTTATATAAAAAGATAGGAAACTATGTCATTTTAGAAGTCTCTATAAATTGATCATTTTTAGTACTATTAGTTTCTGTCCAAAAGAGAAATTCTGGAATTTATTTGATTTTATAAATTTTTATCATTTATTGGATTATAACATTACTTCCGGTATAAATTACTATATTAACGAGCATATGTGCATTATGTATATTTGGACTATAGATAATCAAGTTGGACATATGTAGACAATTATGGACTTAGGACTTGTTAATCGCCATAAATAGTTTTAAACCCATAAGTGACGGTTTTGGATATTTCTCTTTGATAGGGAAACGTTAAGCCAACTTGTGGGGACCGGATCGTGTTTTTGATTAGCGGAGCTTTGCAAAAGAGTGAGTGTTGAAAGTAAATCAAGTGCCATTAAAAATTTAATTTGCTCATATTCGCTTATGCAAAAAGGAGGTTTATGATATTGAAAACATGTGAACTCACCAACTCTTTGTAGTTGACCTTGTTTTATTATGCTTTTCAGGGGTAAGAAAGGTTAACTGATATCGTTTATGTTCGGGGCGCAACGACATCATCCATTTTTTTATTTGAAATCTTTACGTTAAAAACTTTGCTTACACCGTGTTGTTAAAACTTTGAACTTGTATGATGTAATTTCGGACTTTATATGTTATGTATTTGAATGGACAATTGGTGTTGTTTTCGCCCTATCGCTGTGAAATCTTGAAATATCACTCCTAGTGTTTTCGCTTTAGCGGGTTGTGACAGACTTGGTATCAGAGCCATAGGTTATAGAGAACACCAGTTTTCTTAAAACCAAACTATAACCAAATGTTTTCAAAACAAAGTTACTAAGTATAACCAGAGGATGGAAGTCGTGTTATAATACTTAAATTAAACAGAGCCTGATCACCTTTGTTTAACTTAAGTATTATGATAAAAGATTCTCATCGGTTGAGCTTTAAATTAGGTTAAATTCAAAGATTTTATCTTAAACCTGAAAAGCATGATCGTGTGTGTTTGCATGAATCTTGAATATCCATCACCTTAGATTAACTAGAAGCTCTGGTTGTAAAGTGAAGCAAGATATATAGAGCGCTAAGAAAACCCGAGGGTCAACTCTGTATCTAAATACTTGGTAGCTAGACATAGATAAAGGGGTATAGTCTCTATAGCCTCTGTATTCAAAATTTGCACTATGCGTTAGGTAGGAAATTGCTTGGACATAGTGAGAATTGCGTTCTAGTTTTGAATAAGGACCACTATTCTATATAAGTGAAGAGC